CTGCCAGAAACCAGGATACAAACCTTGGAGCTAACTAAAACTAGCAGAACCGAACACAAAACAATGATCTGGCCTTGATAGCTGGAACTGAGCCCAATATAAGGGAGAACGGCAGATGGCTGAGATGGGTGACAATTAGGAGCCAAACTGAGTTAAGCAGGTGAAAGTCATGAATAATTAAGATGAGCTATTATGGCAAATCATGACACATATAGGGCACTATATAGTGGTGATAAGTGTCCGAACATCTAATGGAGTAAAAAGTTGTGGACTCGAAATTTCCCTCAAGGCACCTTGAAAAATTGTGATCATCCACGGTCACCAGATGAGCAGATATATCCCAGATTGCTTTGCAAGTGCTCTTCTCGCAAAGCAAATATGAGATTTGCTGTGAGGGCGAGAAAAAACAAAGATGGTGCAGGCACCATGCGGGGAGGCAAAGTTACGAGATTAACAGGGAGCAAAAAGTAGTGATCATCTGTCTGAATAGTAAGTTAACTTAGGTAACTATAAAGTCCAATATATAGTCCCTGCTCTATATAGTGATTAAGGGGTTAGGGCGGACGTTCGGACACACCCTTTGACACTTTCTGAAAATGCCGGATGGTGTTGTATCTCACTGGTGAACCTAAGCAAATTCCAGAAACTGTCCGGGTTGGTTTGGGGGATTAATCGAGTTAATGGTTTGTCCAGGGGAATATACAAGCTCAGATCCATTAGAGCAGAGACAGGCAGCATAATCAAGGGGACAAACCAGGGTTGGGAATATGAGAAAAAGTCCAAAGTCAGAGTAACGTTATCCAAGATTCAGAGACAATCCAGGGGAGAATCCGAGCGCGACGTCAGGGCACAGAAAACAGGTCAGAGATAAAAAAAATAAAATAAACTATGACAGGTCCAATAGGGTTCAGGCAGACTCAGAGAATCAGGAGCCAGAATCAGGTCAGAATCAGACAGACAGGCAAGTACCAGGAATGCAGGATTAAACTCACCGGTGGGTCATAATAATCTGGCATTAGTGACTAGTCTGAGAGCTGGTGAGCAAAAGGATCTGATGGAGGGTGATTTGAAAAATCTTCAATAAG